CATGCCCTCAGACGCTGGACTCGCAGGCCGAATTCATAGTGTGTATATATATATACTATACATTCATTCGGTACCACAGTACCTACTCCTCACATAGACTTTCACTGGCTCCGAGACTCCACATCTACATCCTTGGCACAAAACCGAAAGCAATGATTGTCTTTATATATCCAGTCTTTTTCGCTGAAAGGTCTGCCTTCAATCTGTAGCACGCTCCCTGTCCACGCTGCCGGTCTCCAGCAATGCCATAGGTGCCCACACCGAAGTAGACCTGAAACGAAAAGATACAAAAAAGGTCTCGAAGAAGAGCCCCACATTGCTACCGTTTCCTAGGACACTGTGTTTGCCATGCAACCATCTGGATCTTCCAACGACCAACAAATTGTGGCAGTTTTGGTTATTGACCCGGTTTGCTGCGCCAACACCCGCAAATCAGCGCAACCGACAAAGCGACCGCAAATTAGCGCAAAACGCACGCCAGAAACAAGCAAACGACCACAAAAGTCCGCAAAATAATGCAAAACAACGAAAGGACCAATACGACCTTAAAACCAAAACGACTAGATTTTTTTGCTAGTTGGAAGGTCCAGGAAAGCATGTTTTCAAAAGGCTTCAATGGATCACGATTATGATTATGGATATGATTGGCCTGGCCAAGCATTGCGACAGCTTCAGGCATTTTTCTCTTCAGTCAGTATGTATTCTGCATACTTGAGGATATCCCTTGCAACACTTGTATCTTGGGAAGCTTGTACAAGGGCTGTACTACAAGCTGCAATCTGGAAACACACCACCGTCAGCATACAAGGCAGATCCTTGCCTAACTTGAGCCAGGGACTTCCCGTCCATTGCTGGCACGATCAAGCAATGCACACCTAGAACCCTGATATGAACCCATGCATCCCACTGTTCAGAATCTTGGCCATTTAGTAGAAACACAGGACGTGGTTGCCAAGGGGCATCCTGGCCAGACTCACCCCTGAAGCTTGCTTCAGCTGATCGCATCGCTGAATGTCCGAACGTCCAATCCTCGGTCGACGATGCAACCTCGCGAATGGTCCAAAAAGCTTGCGCGATGTTCTGCGGTCCTAGGGCTGGCGACAACGACCATCAGCGTGGGCCTGGTCTTCACCGTCATCACCCAACAGGAGTCTATTATATTGCATGTTTGGAGCATCCACTCACCCGAAAGCTGTGTTGCTACGGGAGCATCCCTTATCAAAAGTTGCATTAACCTCGGCACCCAGCCAATCCGTTGCTCTCAACCAGGCATCCATGCAGGCATAGGTCGCAGTCACTCCGCCACCTTGAAAAGCTCCAGGCTCTGCAGGGCAGAAGTAGCCCGCACCACCTGAACAAGGAAAGGGTGATGTGATGTATACCTGGAAACCCAAACAACGAGAAACACTCCAGAAACAAATGGATGCTTCCCCAAACCAACACTTGCTGGTATGTAAAGGATCTCAACTGCCAATATTGGATCAACCGTTTCTTTCTGGTTGTTTGGGTTTCCAGGCGGGAGATATTTTTAGTTTCATGAACTTGACTCCAGATCGAATCGTTTGTCTGTTCCCTTTTAATCCTTCAAATCACAAGTGTCCTGGCAATCTCTTTTTAGTCTAGAAAAAACTTTTCCCAGGTCACTTGCTCCAATGGGAAGCTGTCACCGGCTGGGTCCTCAACGTACGGCTCAGTAGATGAAACGGTCAAGGCCTGCCATAGGTTTAACTCTTCGCAGTGTTATCAACATGACTCCGGGCACTTGCATTAGATCATATACCAACAGGTCAGCGCTAGCCACCTGCGATGACTGAAGTTATAAGCTAGCCAGATTGATCGCATGCCATTGAACCGCAACATCCGGATTTGAACGCAACCAGCACCTTGGCGCCGAAGCGGCTCTTCGCCTGTCCCTTCTACCCGCCACGCATGCACCCAACGGATGACGCGAACGACCCGTTTTCGGTCCACCGGGCACCTATGCTCTTGATCCTCCTGCAGCCGGATCAGCAGAAGGATCGCCCCGGCGCGGACAATGGCCACCTGGGTCGGCGAGAGCGGTGGACTGAAGGTACTCCGAACGAGCTGGGACATGTCTGGGGAGAGAGATCCTCAACATACCACTCATATGCAAGATAGTCTGGTATGGGCATTTACTGGGGAAATCTACGCTTCGTTTTTCAGGTCAGTGGTTTCAGCATACTCCTCCGGTGTCGATCGTGATGCTCTGCGGAGACAGGAATTCGCTTGAGTTAGTATTATTATCTCAAAAACTACGTTTCGGAATTATTGGATGTATGACTGTATGACCCATTGTTTGGGGGGAAAATCCCATGGTGGTTGAAATCGACCGCTGCCACGGCAGATGTGTGGTTCTGGCCCTACTGATTGATGGGAAGAGAGGGAACTGGACATGGGAGCCACCGCCAACGAGGCAGCTTTACCGGCATGCACGGTTTCAATGGCTCCTTCGACGATTGATTATGCCATAGAAGCATAAGTGCCATAAATTCATCTCAGTGGTTTTCCTTTCTTACACGGACAGTACCTTGGTGATTGGATCACATGGTGCCGTCAGAGAATCACAAAGTTCATGTTCCCTTGCGGTGTGCAAGCAGTCTTTCTGGATGATGATGTGGGGCAGCAACACTCCAATACGAAGCCAGCTGTGGTCCACCAGCCCGGGAATTAGACATTTTCGTACTCTGCCACTTCATCGGTCGGAGGCCCGATGATTGACCGAGAAACCTGGTGACCAAACATTGCGCTTCACCCAGCCGCTCCAGATTTCAGGGAAACGCCAACATGGCAAAAAGTCGGTGACATGGCAGTCAAATTGTGTTGGAGGTGCACTTTTTTCTCCCCCTTGCTTACAAGAAGTACCCCCTTTCTCCTGCTTCATGTTGCGGGAGTGCCTGCAGCGTCCAGGTCCGAACGCGTGCGCCGTTGAGACCGCGTGGCACCAATGCGTTCGTCGGAGAGTCGCACCGCAAACCAGTGCCGATCGTTCTGTCTGCGGCTCTAGTCTTGGAACTAAGGGTTCATTTGATTGGATCTGCCTGTGTGGGGGTGAAGCCAAAGGCGTCCAAATGACAGCGCTCTTTCTTTCTTCGTGGAAGCGGCGGATATCCGTTGGAAACGGGGTCTTCTGCAAAGAACAGCTTTCGAGAGTTTCACGAAAAGCTCTTTGATCGTTCTGCTGCTCTTCTCTTTGACTGCTCTTCCGTCGTCCCGCTTCGCCTTTCGGCTTCATTGTGAAGCGCGCTTCCAGACTTCGACGCGCGGCTCCGCAAACCACCTGCTCATGAGGTCGCTTGCAGTGCGCTCGCAGTGCAATGCCCACGCAACTCCTTTGAAGTTGCAACGCATCAATGAAAGGCAAGTCAAACAGGCTCACCAAAAAAAATTCAATACCCTGCACCGGAGAGTTCTTGGAATGGAATACTTTCCAATAAGATTTAAAATCTCGATAAGAGAGATTTAAAATGCAAAAAAATGTTTTAAAATGCAAAAAAATGATAAAAAATGCAAAAAAATGTTTTAAATGAAAAAATGATAAAAAATGAGAAACAATGATAAAAAATGTTAAAAAATGATAAAAAAATGATTAAAAACATAACATGGCCAACGTTTGGACACGTAAGAACTTGTGAGAACCCATTGGGCATAAATTGGATTAACATGTGACTAAAACGGGGTTGCATGGATGAACTCATAATCTCAACGATGAACAGTTTGTGAGCACTTGGTGAACCTATTTGTTTAAAGGTTTGAGAAAGTTAAACCAGATATGTTTGTACATGTTTTTGAACCATGGTGCACCACTTAGGTCAGAAATTGATAGTATAGATGACTTTGGACCATTTTTGACCTTATTTCACAGTTAATTGTTTTGTGTCCTTGCTGTGAACCTACTGTCTGCTGTAGTCTGCTGTAAGCTATAATCTCAACAATAAAAAGAAATATTGAAATACAATGAAAATCTTAGCAGAAATCAACTCAAAAAATCTCAAAAAATCTCGAAAAATCTCGAAAAATCTCGAAACATGAGAAAATATGCAAAAATATGCAAAAACATGCAAAAATTTAATTGTACATGCGAACTGGAGCGTGATATGACTGCTGCAGTCAGCTGTCTTCTCAAACGTCTTGTGTCTGACTAGACCGTGCTGTTGCCATGTCGGTGCGCAGTGCAGTGAACCGGGCACAGAAAAAGGCTCGTGGGGCGCCGCCTATGTTGCCTGGAGGTATGATGCCGCAGATGTTTGGTGGTCCTATGATGCCCCAGATGTATGGTGGGATGATGCCTCAGCAGATGTTCCACCCACCTCAGTCTCAGGTGGGGGAAGGTGACACCTACACGTCAGAAGATGAGCATGAGCAGGTGTCGTCGTCTACTGTCCCGCCCAAGGCTGCAGGCATTCCTTTGCAGCAGGAGTCGTCTGCTGTAACAGCAGTGGCAGAGCTGCAAGAGGATGGTGTCCAGCACCACCAGCGTCTACCAGATGCCTTAATTTCATGTCAAGCAACTTCCACTTAGTAACTTCTGTCGTCTAAGGTTCGTCCTGCACGTGGTGGATGACATCATCGTCAAATGTGTTCAGTTGTTAGGATAACTTCTCCCCAAGAATCACAATTTGATGGACCATGTTGTGTTTGAGGTGTTTTCCCCCAAAATAGTAACTTTTCTTAAAACAAAAAATAAAATGAAAAAAAAGTGAAAAATGTGAAAAAATGTTTTAAAATGTGAAAATATGATTAAAAATGTGGAAAATTGATTAAAAAATGTGAAAAAATGCAAAAAAATAAAAAAACATAAAATTTCATGCGACCCTGCTCTGATCTAATCCTTCTCTGATCTAGGTGATTGAATTTTTTTGGTGACAGGCCATGGATCAGACTGCGTTAGTTCTCTAGCTCCTCCTCAGGCGTCAGGGATAAAACCCCAACATGCTCCAACAGCATGCCACTGCTACAAACCCATACACCCAGCACTGCTCTTACACCCCTGACCCAAACTTTCTCCATCTCTCACTCTTCCCCACCATGGCCTCTTCTTCTGCAGGCACATTGTCAGCAACGCTCTGGCTGGCTGATCGAACCGTGGCAGCTGTCACGCGACTTCCTTGGCAGGAAAACCCCGCACTAGCGCCTTGGCGCTAGCTATGTATTGGTCATGTTCCTGCGACACCCCTGACACCGACAATCGCGGACAGTTTTGGCTTCGTCTCGAAATGTGCCCCCGCAAAGCTACAGCTGGCCGCGTTGATACTTTGGGCCTCGACTTTACAACACAAATCTTGCTGCTGTTCTGCCAACAAGGCTCCAATGACCAATACTTCGCCCAAATGGCTAACCGCACGCCGCATCTTTGCCGCACGTCCCCCTGGAGGGAGCAGCTGGGCCAGGTGAACTGCTGCATCGTTGCTACGCTTCAGTGACGCCACGTTGTCAACCAATTGCTGCCGAGCCTGGCTAGCAGCGGCTAGAACTAAGGCCATCCATGGGCAATCGAAACAACTGCAGAGACTTTGCCAAGAAGGCTCGATAGGCTTGTCTACGCATGTCACCACCTTCCTCTGCCCACCTAACCACCAGCCCTCCCACCACGTCCTGCTTCTGACGTTGCGCATCCCCTTCGTTCAGCTCCCGAAGCCGGCCCACCGCCCGGATCTTCTCGAGAAGCTGCTTGCCTTGCTCCGCCGTGCCCTGGAACGCGCACCGAATTTGCAGTCCTTCTTTCAGTGGGATTGCCATAGTCCACCGCAACGGCCTCAGACACACACTAAGCACCACACACTCACACAACCCTTATGCATGCACTGGCTGATGCATTGTGGCGCATGGACACGACCACGTCACAATCCGTCGTGGGACAGCATCTATACCATGCAGCACCCCTGGCGCTTGCAGTTTGACCAACACTGCAAATCCCCCCAGACCTCACGCAGGCTCTAACCTCATGACAGCCAAGGCACATCACGCTCTGCAGAAACCGCCGCGCTGAGGCCTGGGTTGCGAAATGGCCTGGGACATTTAGGTCCAACATGTAGTTGAAGCTGTGCATTGCTGTTGCCTCGGAAGCAGCTCCATCGTCTCCTGTGCTATGCCCCGCGTGCTGCTCTCCCGGCTCTTCGCTCTTGTCTACGCGGACCCCAAGCTTTTGAAAGTCTGTCGACAGCTTCTCCTCCTCCATGGCCAGGCACAGCTGCGGCGGCGTACCAACGTCTGAAAGCCAGGCTTCGATCACCACCGAGCCCCACTCGCAGCATGCCACACAACTTCGAACCATCTAGAAGCATGATGGGTGGGCACATACTGTGTATTTGTTGGATACACATCCACTGACACTTTATGGTACTGCGTGGACATACGTATCCGATAGGGTCCCGGCATCTCCCGAGGATGGTCTTGGAGGTGAAAGTACTTCCAGAGGATGAGCCATCCCTCAGCTCCTGACAATGACTTGGATGAGTACATCGAGGACAGTACATCCAAACTGCAAACCACCAAAAAGGCACAACCTCTGAAGAGTTTGGTTTGAAACCTTAGCATGCGTCGCTTTATCTACCTCAGCCTTCTGTGAAACTGACCAACAAGTTCACAAGTTGGAATGGACTGGTAGATGAACAAGTGGACACAGCAGCATGAGCTTTGCTTTCAGTCAAAAAGATCAGCTCTGAACTCGAATGATGCTTATATGCCTCATGCATCCGGCGAAGCATCAACACCTTCCTCTCTGTTCCCAGCCCTCAACCCTTTTCTTCCTGGACAGCAGCTACGCTTCAGTCCATACAAAAATCTGACCTGCCTGCCCGCACACCGGCCGCACTCCAGAATCATCCACAGAAACGGATCCACATGCACATCTCATAATACTCGTCCCTTTACGCCCCTAACATGAACGTATTTCTTCGCAGGCTATGCTGGTCTTTGCTCGGGCAGGCGACTCGGGCGCATGTCCTGTGAACATGGACAGCTAGCGTGGCTCTCAAATGCAGAGCTGCTTCATGCTGAGGCACGGAAGGGTCATCTCAACTGGAATTTCGTAAGTTTTTCGTTGATGCCTTGCTGCAAGGATTAAAGTCATATACTGTCAGGACAGTGCTATATATGGCTGATGCAGTTGCGTAAGGACAGGACCCATGCACGTGTTCCAATCACGTTCAATCAGTGCTCAGCACGGAACAATCATGCTCATGCCACCGTAGCATGCGTATCCACCACGCACCAAGCTCAAGCCAATGATCGCGATAGTGGTTTCTGCGCGGATCATCTCTGCGGTGGCGTGGCCGTCATACAGTGCAATGTCGTACAGGCCTCAGTTGGAACCGTGTTCAACTCACCCACGCGGAAGCGCTCCGGCGAGAACTATTTCCTCCAGTCCCCTGGGGTAGCCCCTGCAGCGCCCGTGTATGTCTTTTTGTCTTGGGGGTACAACTGTATAAGCCTGCTGTTCTCCCGTGGCCCAGCAGATCACATGTAAAACCAAGTAGCTCTCCACAGAATCGTCTTCGGCAGCTGCATCTGCCACACGAATCATTTTCTTCGCCCGGTCGCCGCCCGACACGTCCCCGACGTCCACCACCCGCACTTGGACGTTGGCCATCTGCACGTCCGGCTCTGAGGGCAACGCTGTCGGCATCGACGGCAATACATCAAAGGCTGCCTTTGGATAGACATCGTAGGATGGGTCTTCCCGCAGGAGCCGAATCGTTGACCTTGGCAATGCGGTGCCCAGACCCACGCTGACTCCGCTGCACGCTCCTGCACTACTTACAAGCTTTGAGCCTTCCCCGCTCGCTCAGAAGGAACCGGAGTCTTTCTAAGTGAAGCTAAGTCAACCTTGTTGCCTATCCTCTGCATCCTACTGCTGCATGTGAAGACCTTGGAATACGATGACGCGGGGCTGGGGCTGGCTGCACGCATGCTCAGCCAAGACACAAGACACCTCTCTTGCGCTTCCCCTGCTCTGCCATATTGCACCCGAGCTCTCGAGGGGCAAGACGATCGCAGAACCATTCTTCCGGAATGCTACCGTCCGGGCGCTTCCACAGCGCTCGCACTTCAGCGTTGAGCACCAACACCATGCTGTCCAACTCCAAGCGTTGTCCTGGAGCAGCACTTAGCTTCACCACGATCGACACAGGCTCTGCTCCGTCTGGACCCGGCTTGTCCGACATGATAAACCTCAAGGCCATAACGCTGCCAAAACCCTGATGACGCAACTCCACCCTCGACCAGCTCACCGCCTAAATGTGTGCATAATGTGTTCGTCCGCTACAGGCGCCTACATGCCCCCTACATAGAAGACTTTTTTCTTATGTCTGGCTGTCCGCAATCCTGGCTTTTCCCCATATGAACCTCAAAGTCACAGCCCTTTCTTCGCCTCCCATATGTGCGTCGGCCAAAACCTCCAACGAATGTATATGCCACGAAATGTGAAGTTCTCGCTTTTGGAGGGGCCCTATCGCTTTTCCTATACTTTCTGACTGGCACATTCATCCAGCATCCTCTCCTCTCATCAAACCTGTGCCATATAGACTGCTTGCATGGCTCAAGCACTCATGGTTCCCACAGAACCCCAGCAAGCCTGATGAGGTACAGGGAATCACCTCATCATCCATCATCAGGTCATCACCTCTTTTAGGGAGATGTGATCTCCAATCCCTCCAATCACAAGCCTTGTTGACCTAAGGTTTCTTCCGAGCTTTGGGTGGTGTGTGTGTGGGTCTGTGTGTCCTGTGCGCGCAAACTAAGAACACAAAGAGCTGCACCCATGAGCGTTCATTTCCCTCTTTGGTTCTGTCTAGGTCGACACATGATGCTTTGACAACGTCATCGCTTTTGAGGGGGGCCTCTCGGTTTGCAGGTTTGGGCCCACTTCCTGAAATTCACGACCACTCTTTAAATTTACTAAATGAGTCCTTGGACGTTTTGGCGGTTGCTCATATGATGCCTCCCCCCTCAACCTCCAGACTGCCAGGATACTTGCACACAGGGTATCGCTCCTGGGTACCAAAGATCGTGTGAATCCGTCCACGGCAGGACACTGGAGTCAAAGGCATCTGGCCGCTTGCGATCGTCGCAATGCTCACTTCGCCGGCCTCCGGCACAGTGGGCCCTGCAGCTGCTTTCGCTTTTGCCGATCCCACTCGAAATCGCGTCGCCATTGGCTCCACCGCAAACAAAGGCACTGTGCGCGTTCTCAGCCTGAATGTCTGGCAAATTGCATTCGTCACTTTTTCATGTCCAAGTCTGCCACTCGACCTCACTGCACTCGCACCCACTGGTGACCTACTATGGCGCTAACTGGATGCACTTGGACTCCTCCGACCACTGGACAAACTTGCTCACGACGTTGGGGCCCGCAAGTTTGGTGGTTTATATTCGGGGCTATCTCGGGGGTCGAAGTGCCGTGTCATCGTCTACTCTGAACGACTGCAAACGGAAGCAACAAAGAACAGTCATCATCTTCCCGGTTCCCCCGAGGACGTTCATATTTACCCCCGCCTTGCCATGGAGATATCTCATTGGCCCCAGAATCAGGAGTTGGCAGTGTTGGTGCTCCACCTGCATGTTGCCTTCTAAAC